CTCTTCCGGTGTTGCCTCGTCGCCGTTCAGTTCAAAATGCCAGAACTTGAGTCCTGTCTCTTATACACATCTAGATGTGCCCAAGAGCCCCCCCATACACCCCTCATCCCCAAAAGTTTCTCAGCAGATTTCGGCTGTACTCAGCAAGCGCAGTACAGCCCCCAACTCAGATTTGAAAAAAAAAAAGTGGACGGCTGTTTTCTGACTGGTCGGCAGACCGCCGACCGCTTGGCCCTACTGGTTAGCTGCAATACCAGCGGTCAGGGTAGGCGGTCGGAGGGTATGCAACCCTGCTTTTTACCATTAAGCCACAGACAGAGATCCTTGATTTTTCTGCTCTTCTGTACAGCAATGAGTCCAGTGGAGATACAAAGCTTGCCTATGGGAATGAGATCAACAGTCATCAACTACATCTTTCAGAACTTCTATAGGATCATGCGGCCAGCAGAAATATGAACTTGCCACCGACAGTCGAGTCAAGCATTTATCCACAGGCAGAGAAATTTATCATCCAGGACCAGCAAGAAAAAGAGCGAAGAGCTGGCACGACAGCAATGATGCTGACTATTCATAAATTAATAATCAATCAATGCGCAGTGCCGAAAAGAAACCTTGTCCATCCTCTCCACTGATTGATGAAATGTTACACTTACAATATCTAGGGATCAAGAAGAAGAAGAAGAAGAAGAAAGAGCCTTACTTGTCCTTGTTTCAGTATCTGGAAGTCTGCGGTGCTCTGATTGTGAAGGAATCTGATCCTATCCTCGTCTGACACTGCAAGCACAAGAAAAGATTTAAAACTTACATTCAGCTTTCGCTCTCCCAGATCTGGTGGACAGAAGCAAACCTTAATAAACATCTGATGCTCCATTCTTCCCGGCGATCCGAACCAAGGAATGAAACCTGGAAAACTAATAAGAAAATAAAGAAGGAAAGCAGGCAGATGAATCGACTGGAAAATGGGTGGAAAAATTGAAATGAAATGAGCTAATGATCCGAAGAAGGGAGGAGGGATGGGAAGGGATTGAAGGATGGAAGGAAGGAAACAAGAGGGGGGAACGAACGAATGAAAGAAGGAAGGAAGGAAGGACGGAAGGAAGGAAGGAAGGAAGGAAGGAAGGAAGGAATCGACATAGTGCGGGAGGATAGGAACGATGGTAGCAAGACACACAGGCAGGCAGGTAGTGAGGGAGGGAGGACCTACCAACTGACCAGAACTGTCCAACCACCCGACCCACGTGGCTGAACCACGCACCTGACCAACTGACCAACCAACCAACCAACCAACCAATGAAGGAATGAACAAATAGAGGAATGAAGGAACGAATGACCGAGTGAACGAATGGTTAAAGGAAATAGCAAACAAGCAAACGAATGAACGGAGAAACAAACAAAAACTAAACAAAGGAACACATGAGCGAATGAACAACAAAACAAACAGCAGATGCAGGAACAAGTGAGTGACCAAAAAAGTGTTTATGTACAAAATTACTACAAATATGTGACAATTTACAGTCCATACTATACTATATAGTGACATGCACACCAAGGGCCGGTCTTTTGCAGGTGGGGATACACCCTTGGGGTAGTGCAAAAAAAAAATCACCAATAGACCTGGAGACGAGAACATGTATGCCTACCTCTTATACGCCCATAATGAGTACGGTCAATGACCTGCAGTCAATGGATCACCAGCAGCAATCACAATGAAGATGGGAGTTCACTGCCTGTTCAGCCACCACACAAAATCAAAACAGAGGAAGCTGCTCTGCACAGAAATTGGTTCAAGGTCCTGCACTGAAACATTCCAAGGGACCAGCCCAACATGCTATATCCAGAACATACAAAGTTTCATAAATATGAGAAAGGGAAGCCTTACTTATTGCCTGTAGCTCAGGGTTGCATCCCTGCCAACCGCCAACCCCGACAGCCGACCGTATTGCAGCCGACCAGTAGGGCCGACCGGTCGGCAGTCTGCCGACCAGTCAGGAAAAAAAAAAAAAAAAAACATCCACTGATTTTTTTTCAAATCTGAGTTGAGGGTTGGGGTATGGGAGGGTTGGGGTTGGAGTATAGGGGCGGTATAGGGGTGATATAGGGGGCATTGTGGGGGGTGATGAGGATGTTGGGGGCGTTTTGGGGTTGTTGGGGGGGTGTCTGGGGGTATTGGGGGCCGCTATGGGGTATTAGGGGTTCTGGACCCCGAATTTCTTTTATATTTTTTATATTTTTATATTTTTTATTTTTTTTGCAGGTGCCGACGACCCCCGACCGGTGGGTGCCGACCAGCCGATCGGTCGGCAGGTCGGCAGCCAACCAGTCAAGGGCCGCCAGCCGTCTGGGGGTGCAACCCTGCTGTAGCCATCAAAATGTGCCTTGCAAGCCATGAAGCACGGGTCCAAGGCGGCTTGCAAGTGCTGAGAGTTGCCTCTTTTGTAGTCTCTGACGAAGGCATTTCCATCCGTAAGAATTCAACTGTCTTGCGGAGATCACCACATACCTCAAAAGATTTCAAACTTCAAACCCAAGGTTTCCTCAAAGAGAATGACCCACAACCATGATTGGTATATACGCCCCTTCCTCAAAGTGAAACTATTACTTCTTTAGGAGAAACTCTGCAAACAGTGCAAGGGGATAGGATGCTGGACGAATCTGCGTGTCAGAGAGTCAGACCCACTGCCATCACGCTGTATTGTCATATAGACTTCCTCTTCGCCTCTGTAACAAGCACAAAGTGTAAGTCATGTTTTTTTTCTTTTTCACTTTTTTAAATAACTTCTCTGACATGGTCCATGAGTTCATTTGCAAGTCAGGATTGGAATCCATGCACAAAGGCTCAGTGGTCAGACGCTTCCCCATTGTCATATAGACTTCCTCTTCGCCTCTGTAACAAGCACAAAGTGTAAGTCATGTTTTTTTTTCTTTTTCACTTTTTTAAATAACTTCTCTGACATGGTCCATGAGTTCATTTGCAAGTCAGGATTGGAATCCATGCACAAAGACTCAGTGGTCCCCATGGATCCAAGATCGCCATCCAATGTTAAATCATAGGCGTTGGCTGTGCTGCCTTGACAAGAAGCAGCAAGAAGGAGGAGGAGGAGGAGGAGGCGGAGGGGGAGGAGGAGGAGGAGGAGGAGGAGGAGACACAAGTGCGTTGAAATTACTTTACTGGCTATGAAACACTTTTGGGGTATGACCAGCGATCCCATATATGACAGTTGACGGTTCATCATCATGTTCACTAAACCACTGTATGGTAAACAATTTCACGGTATAAGCACAGACACCTGAACTGGCCTCCGCGCATGCTTTATCGCACTGAAGACTCAAAAATCCTACTCCCTGCTCCTGCTCGTGCTCCTGATCCTGATCCTGATCCTGATCCTGATCCTGATCCTGCTCCTCTTTCTGAGGGAAACAGAGATCACCGGTGGGCGAACTTATGGGCGGGAACGACCTTTGACTTCGGAGCGCAAGTTCAAAGTTCAAACTCCTGACACTGCAGGTCAGTGGTAAGTGATTGAGGGAGGGATGGTGTAGAGGGAAAGGAAGTGGTAGGGAGTTCTATAGGTTTGCAAAACTTCTGCATGTTGTCATTGTGATAGAGGGATGGCTTACCAGTCTAACAGAACCTTACTGTCCCATAAATATACCTCCTTATAAACCCCCTCCAGGGATGGCTTACCAGTCTAACAGAACCTTACTGTCCCATAAATATACCTCCTTATAAACCCCCTCCCACAACCCCCAAGCCCTTTTGCGGCTCGTTTTTGTTTGATATGTATGGTCATTTGCTTACCACAGCATGTGTCTTTGCTGCATCGATTGCTTCAACGTCATTTCCAAATGTCACGGCCACATTCCCACCACTGTCTTCATCGAATATTGCTCCATATTTTGTTTGGATGTCCTGCATTCACCAAGTTCATAAAGCATAACACAGTCAAAGCTATCATGTAAATCATACTCTCTTTTAAGACAGCCATTGACGCATCCTCTGACCACTCAGAAGAGTATGGAGAACTCCATGACAATCACCCTTCTTTCCACAATTTATTTTCCTACTTTCTTTTTGTGCCGCTGCCTGAAAGGACCCAGGTCTTATGACGACTTGTAGTGAGGTTATGTTGTACTACCCAGCAGTGTTAGCTACTGAGCCTACAGTCAGTCCCCGAAACGTCACTCAAATTGCAGGCCAGGACTTTTTAAGTGTGTCAGGATAACTGTTGCATACTGTAACGTTGCAGACCAGAACAAGAACCGACCTCTCAATACAAAGTATAAGATAGCACAGCGGAAGACTTAGATACCAATGA